TGATCTCCCACAGATATTTACAGAAATTCAGCTTCAAGGTGGCAGTGTTATGTTATCGTGCGCATCCACTAAATTATTCATAGACAGAATGCAAATCCATAGCCGAGGCTGAAAAACTATGAAACACATCTTTGTTAGACAAAACTTTCATAGCTGGGTCACTGGTTAGCTGAGGTTTTATTGTAGTCCTCCCCCAAACAAGAATGCAGGTTACATAGGGCAGGTGTGGTTGTTATAGTGCTCCATTCATAGGAGGGGGAAGGGGTAGCTACGATTTACTAAGGTTAGGGCTTAACCCCAATCCTAAATATCTACAGCTGCTAGTTCAGCAGTTGGTATACAGTTATTACTAATCTGTGTCAGAGCTGCTGATCTGCCTGTCATATTTGCCGGAAATAAATCCATCATAACTTTACATGTCTTTGAGGCTCTCTAAGGGTGGGTTTTTCACCTATATAATTTGGGACTATTATTTGGGGTCTTATCCTGGGTGCCTGTCGTGAGGTGAGCAGCCACCCTACACCATGGACGAGTCGGGATTCTGAAGTCCCCTACGCGGACAGTAAAATTTCAAACTTAAACCCGTCCAGATGGGTATATAGTCCCTTATATTGATCTATACCTTTATCTGGCAGAATATTCATTTCTAGACCTTCTAGTTGCTTTGATAAATCTTCATTTTCAAACTTGCAACTATAGGTTGGCGAATTCTGGTATTTTATTTAGAAATTCCTGTAAGCCGGTTTACTCCTTAGGCATGAATACCAGGAAACTTCTTTCTTAGAGACGCTAGTTTGATTTTGAAAAATCATTCTGCCGCCTGATCCCAAAGTGTCAAGACGTGTATACCGTCAAAGTAGAAATTTGGCACATTCTAAGTTCCATTTCTATATTGAAAGATTTCCTAAGCTTGGGATGATACCTCTTTAGAGATTAGGTAGACGAATCACAGTCCAGCCAACAACCACCAACCTATACCATTCTATGCACCAAGCATAACCAAGCCTTTTTTGCCACTACCTCAACATGGCAAGAGCGTGTTTGTGAACTCCAGGACGAGTAGACATTTGCAGACATCTGTGTCATCAATCTAGAGAACCAGTCTTCAAGAGCTTGGTTGGGCTCTGAGGCAGTTTTGTGACCTGACCTGTGAGAGAGACTTGTTGAGTACCTATGCCGTTCCTGTGTCCTCGATGGTGAGGTAATCAACTGGTACCAGATCAACTAGAGACATAGATATCTGAGTCAACTACAGTCGAATCACCATGGACTGAGGGGAGCATTGACCTACGAACTAGGCTAAGTGATCACTTATTCATTATCATGCTCTCTTCCCACAGCTCCTTGAGATTCCTAGGATGAACTCATGTACTCGCCTGGCCCAAGATCTGGCTGCTTCAATATCTGGATTGTATCACTGATCCCTAGTTTCAGTCAATGAACATTCTTGAGAATCTATTCACTAATACATGTATATATATTGTACTTATTACATACATTCATTTTCATGGCTGACTTAGGTGTCCCTGTTTCACCATTCTAACATAGTAGACTATCATAACCTGGGGGCTATCTTTTTATAGTAGTGGGGGTGTCCAGCCAAGTGTGCTTAGGAATATTATATATTTTGTAGTGCCAAAACTTGAGTTGCCCTACTCCTGAAATAAGTTGAGCGTATAATGGCCACGGGGCATCCCTTAGACCAATACAAGCCAACGACTCAACATAATTATTTCAGAGTGCTTTTGGTTCTTAAGGAGAAATCCTTAAATCAGGCACGTGACAGGAGTGATATGTGACAGTGCCTCAGTAACACAAAGGCTAGCTTTCTGGTCATAGGTTCAAATTCGCATTGAGAAGATCTTTTGTAACTTTTTCTGTAACAAACAATCTGCCGTATATTTACCTGTTACTTCTTAATAATATGCTTTCCATAATTTATAACTGTTTACCCAGTGAGAAAGAGGTAGACAACAATACATGTGAAAAGACAATATTGAGAGATGGATGAACAGCTGTCTGAGAGAGTTTACAACCAAGTCAAGAGACAGTGCATACTGGAGATCCAGTTCAGCTAATCTTAATTGTGGAGATGCCACCTCACTGACTGAATGATTCCTCCAGTCAGTATGTTCACCAATTATGTCCCAATTGTTACTTAAGCTTTTTTTACCCTACAGAGCTAGTGGAACCCTGACAGACCCAGACATTGTGTACTTTAGTTAATAGGTTAAGAATCCCTGTAATCCATTGATGCATCAATCGTATGTTGGTATCCATATTTTCAAAGACCAGTGAGCATGAGATTGGTGATGTGGTTAACATCAAACCAGTCACCTTTACTTCCCAGGATGTTACTTGCTACCCATTTTAGGCTGGGCTGGCGTGGAAGTCAATGTCAAATTTGAGAATGCTGAATGTTGGATTGAGAACTGACATCACAGCACTCGTAAAATTAACATAAGTGCTCCATCCCCATCTTCAGCAGAGTTCCAATTCCGATGGTACCAGTAACAGTCTGACTGAATCACTGTGTAACCTTTCCCTTGAGTGTTGAGCCTCAGCCAGATTCCATGACACCTCCTTACAGCACCATTCTCCTCAAACATTGAAATTTTTTTTTCGCCTCTGCACTGTTCACTCACTCCCAAAGGACCCCTACAATGTTTAGCTTGTCATGAATCAATTTACCATGAAATGGTACAGAACCAGCAAGTCTATCTGCCTGTTCATTTCCCAACTTACAGGCATGACCTGGAGAAAATATCAAAAGGACACCAATCACCCAGGATCTGTAAAGGGATGCTTGTCAGTCTGCACCCGGTATGCAATATGGGTCAGTTCTGAGAACAAAATATCTGACTCAACATAGTTTCAAACCCAATACCTTCATGTCAATGGTTGGGTTTGGACATGTTAAATTAACTCTTGATTTGTGATAAAATAGCTAACATACACAGGTCAACATACCTTAAAATCAATTTTACAAATTGTTCATGTGGCATAAAGATGACTGAATGAGTTGACCTTATCACCTTCCAAATGCCGAGTGATCAATAAAAGTATGGACGGGGAACATACTCCTGGTGTGCCTCAGTGTTAACAGGGCCCTTTACATTACTTTAATTCCCAATTTCATCATTGACGTTATTCTTGTGAATGTAATGAACAAATTATACAGAGAAATGTACAGTGACAAAATGCTGTTATTAATTACAAAAATACATATGATGGATGCTGTTTAAAAAACATTTCCATAATTGAAAAGCAATTTTTACAATTTTAGTCAAGATATGCACAAGATATAGTCGTCAAGTACACTCAACATCATGTATACAGAGCAAATTATAATAATAGGCAAAATATAAACACACTTCAGACAAGTCCAAACATAAGCGTAAAACATTCATAGTCAGCATACATGTATATACATGTACAATAAGCACCATATGATACACTCATGCACTTGTGAGCACATCCATACACACATACATACACACCACATGCAAAAGAACAAACAGACACACACAGTGACAAACAGATAGATAGAAATGCATTTTATCGAAGCTGCTTAGCATGGAAATACTTCTGTTTCTTTCGAAACAAATTTAGTCATCTCTGCAAAGTTTAGTGAACTCCGTATCCTGTCAGGTCTGCAGACGTCATAAGGTTGTTTGGTGTAGATATTACAGGTGACCTTCTGTGGGGGTTGAAAAGGTTGTCTGTGACTAGACCTGTTAGTTTGCTGGGCAGATGGGGCTCATCAACTAGAGGTAGCAATCTATCTAAAGGAAGCTAATCCAAACAGAAAAGCATGCTAAAGTCTGAGGTTCTGGGCCAAAAAAGCACAAATAGACAAGAAAGGTGTCACAGCTGAACCTGAATACTATGACACCACACAATTCCTGCCTGTAATGCCAGTAACTAAAAGTGAAAATGGTGGATTAAAACTCAGATCAAGGCAGCCACTGGAACACTTCCCATTCAGGACACAATTCTGAAGACCCAGTCAACCTCCACACACAAAACAAACAGGTTATAATATTTATATTGCCCCCTTGGTACAACAGACTCTTAAGCCATGTGTACAGCAGGTTCAAGATTGGAGATTCAAAACTTAGTCTTGTCGACAAACACCACGGAATACTGTACATGTGCTGCAGACATGCTCTCTTCCTGTGGTAGAGAGATCCTAGGTTTGGCTGGATGGCATTCCAGTGGGAACCAAGTATGGAAGTCATGCATCACACCAGAGACTTCATAGCAGCCTGTGGGGCCTTCTCATCCGAAAACCACAGGCAGGGAGAATGGAAAAAAAAAAAAGAGAATTTGCCATTCTAGTATGAAATTCTTGAAATCTCAGAGGTGATGAAGCCTTCAGATAGTAGCTAGCAGAGGAAAACAAACGACAATGGTGACTAAATTTAGTTCCTTCTCTCTCACAATGGTATTATTGTAACTATTTTTGGTTTCAACATTATCTGCTTTCAATCACAATATTTCAAAAACGAAACGGGTTAGATTAAATTATGGCTGTTAACCAAAAGAGTCTTATGTCTGTCTGACTGACGTTAAACCCAACCAGGACATCACACCGAGGGATAAACACCTGGTGCACAAAGTGACACTATTTGGACAAAGATCACCTGCAGACAGGTCCCAGAAACCCCATTCAACCTATATGTTGGGTTATATTAGGGCTCCCAGCAACAGCCAGGGTGGGGCTTCAGAACAATTAAAAATTGCTCTCAAATGGGGACAGACATTATTTCAAGTTTTATGTAAATCATAAATTTTTTTCAAAATGCTTAGCTACAGATATAATTTTGGAAATGGATTAAATATCAGCCTCTTTTAAAAACCAATTGTAAAACTGAAATCAGCACATTTATACAAATTAATGCTTTGATTTTTACTCTGAATTGCTGCTCCTAAATAAGAACATTGTCTTTATTTTTCTGTATGAAAGATGTTAAAATAAATTTTCGTCGAGTAATTTCTCATGCTTTTGATTCATTAGCAGTTTCTGAGTCAGCTCTGCTCTCCCCTTCATTTACCATAATTCGTCGTCTGACGCCAGGACTCTGTCGTAATTTCAGGACAAAGTATTTATCTTTTCTGATATCACGCAACTCCTCGTAGAATTTATATTTAGGTCGAAAACTATCCTCTATTGTAGATCTGTTGTAATCCTCTTCCCCAAAGTCTGTGGAACATACTGTGGATTAAAAAAAGTAGCAATCTGATAATATTATATTAAATAATTTTTTAAAAACAGCAGCTATTTATTGTAAATATGACATTGTGTAACATCCAAGATGTATTTAATAAGTATCATATTATCAAAGTTTACAGCTAAGCTGTATTTTTATGAGGCCACTGCCCTTCCTTTAATTTCTTCCCAGAATCATTCTGTAAAGATTCCATGTCTTGGGAGACCAGGTCAACATGCAACTGTTGCAGAAACAGATCAACCACAGATGAGATATTCTCATTACAGCAGTTAAAAGAAAAACTCAATGAACAAAATCAATGACTGTATATTATTTTAACTGACCTCCCCAAGATCCCGTAGAACAGTGAAATTCGATGTGATAGTCAAGAAGCAGTTTTGATGGTGTATCCACAGGGAATTTTTCTATCACTGAAGGAGTAAATCAAGGCTGTGTACTTGCCCCCCCCCCCTCCCCCCCCCCCCCCCCGCTTTGGAATATAGGTACAAGATTAGTTATATTTATCCAGTATGGCTAAGAAAGAGGTTATTTCAATGCTAATAGACTGTAAGCCACAACTATGATTAACACAAGCACAAGCGTGCATGCCCGCCCACCAACGCCCACATGCGTGAGAGCTCACACACACATGCGCAGGTGCACACACACACACACACTCACACGTGTGCTCACACACACACGTAGACACAGACACACGCACGCAGACACACACACACACGCACGCAGACACACACACACACATATACATACAAATATAAAATAGCAATTGTGTCTGATGATTTACTGACTCAAGCTTACCTTGGTATGACCACCGTACAGGAATAATGCCTCTTTCAGGAACAGTAACTATTGTTATAGGCACTGCGGCATAAATGACAGCATCAGAATATTGGCACTCAATCTGTAAAGGTAAATAGCTAAATATAATATAGGATTGATAAGTTTGATACGTTTTTAATCTCCCTTTACTTTAATCTTTCAGATGTAGACATTGTTTCAAAGTAAAATATGAAACTAAACAGTAATATCCCTACTAGAACTTTATTAGTTAGTCTTAAATGTATAAAATATGTAATTAACATTTATATGTGTGTGAGCGCCTGTGTACATGTGTGTATGTATATAACTATAGGCACTTAATTAACTTCTGAAGTTTCTTTACAAGTACTTTTTCTGAACATTGCAGCTAGAAAGCCTTAACCAACATAACAACGTACATGGACAATATTAAAGTAAGTGTCACATCAGATTTATGAGGCTGGACACAAACTAAAATTTGGGAATACAAAGAACCTCACCGCTACACAGTATCTGACGTCTATAACTCGACATTTGCTGAGTCTAGATGGGCAGGTTGGAGGAACTGGCAGACACAAGCTCTTCCACTGTCGCCTCTGTCCAGGCCTGATGTTCTCATTGAACTCTAGCTCCTCCAGTAGGATGGGTCGACAATAGCTGTCTCCATATGTCACCAGCTATGAGCAGTAGCATTGAAAGATTTGATCAATGTATGAGCAGTAACTGTGTAGCATGATATACTCAAGATAGTAGAATGGAATACAGACAATAAAAACCTTATATAATCATCAACTTCCAATGCAATCTCAGATCACATTTTCTTGTTAAAATTAAAGTCTAGAGAATTGTTTTCATTTCTTCGGCTTTAGCCAGAGTATTGCATCCACAGCTATGTTGGGCCCACTAAAGGCAATGACTGCAGCAATCATTCTGCCGAAAACAGCAGCTGATGAGATATTCTATAATAGTTTGAAAATTAAAGTTTTTTACTAGGTGGTCTTAACATTTTGGACCATTACTGCAGACTGATGTTAGTTCCCAAGCAGGTTTCCATATGTCTGTCTTGATGCCAGAAGATTTAGGAACAATCTCAGCAGTGTTCTTGAATGGGTTTTTTTTCATGCAGCAGTTCACCTTAATATGTTCTTTTTTGGAATGGCCATTCTGACAGTGGGGCTAAATGACCAGCCCAACCAATCTGCCATGTCTTGAAGAAGTGACTTAAGAACATATAAACTATTACTAGGAAGATCAAAGCAGGGAAAGGAGATAACTTAGACAAATACAATTGAACGTTGGGGCAAGCCTTTATCAATGAATAAAACAATAGGTATCATAAACCAGCAAGTTACATGCAAAAATATGGCAAAAATAGGTGGAAAAAGAACAGGAAAAGATATTGTGAAACCAAATGTTAACAAAAAAATGGGGAAAAAAGATAAAGTGTAAATTACACAGAAGTGAATAATTTGAAAAATAAGATATGGGGCTGGTGGTGGTTGTGGTGGTGGGGGGGGGGGGGGGGGGAGGTGGTTTTAGATAAAGGCATGCTGAAAATTGATCATCTCAGAATGCGCAATTAATACTTTTTCTTCAGTATCGTGTTGATACTTGGCAGGTCTGTCCTTTTTTTTTTTTTTTTTGAGAATCGCTGTGCTTATCATGTTACCAACTGAAATTGGAGGGTAAATGTTAGAACCTTCCTCTGCCAGCCCGTAGGTCTAAAGTTAAAATCTGTGTCGACGTCATGGATTGTTTTTGGGAACTGACTTTGGCTATAATTAGAAAAGGGTCATATCCTAAGAAGTAAAGGAGGCCTACCTTATACTGACCACACTGACCATCAAGTGCTTATTGGTCTTTAAAAAATATAAGTCCTAGAACTATATACCCAATATAACATAGGATGTGAAAATGGTCGTTTACATTTCCCTTACTCAACTCCTTGTGTGGGTTTTGGGGCTCCCATTAGGGGAAAAAAAATAAAAGACCCACTGCCGCCCTAACAAGCATGTCGTAAGAGTCGACTAATTAGGGGATTTCTTCGAAGTTGGAATGTGTCTGCCTCACAGGAAAGGGACTAACAATCTGCATACAAAAAAGACAGATCTTTAAAACAGGTGTGCACACAAGTTCTGGAGCAAGATTCAAGTCCAAAAGTGAATGAACAATCAAAACTTCCCATTGAGTTTATAGCTGGTGAATGTGGAGAAGAAGAAAAAGAAGACTTACTTGCCAATTAAATTTCAACATTTTCCCAGACTTGTATTAAAATTATTCAGTTTCTTTCCATCGCCCTGGTACACCACATAGATTTTGTGTGTGTTGAGCGGTAATAGACAGTACACTTCCTCTACACCCTTTTAACTTAGTCTGCAAGAAATGCAGTATCCATTCCAGGCTTTTGATTAGTCTTCTAGAGGTGCTGCTTACTTTTGAGATTGTCTCTTTGATCTCATCATCGATAGTAACATCATGAGATAGAGTACTGCCAAGACATGTGAGGTTTGTTTACATCATATATTTTTTGTCCATTAACTGTGAGTTTGAGAGCAGGGCATTATCCTCAAGGCTAAATGTAACCTTATAAACCTTCCAACTTGCAACACAGTTGTAAACAAATATTGAATATGTCAAATGCATACCATTACAAACCTAAGAAAATAGCATGAATCTCAGCTTAAAAATTGTATTAAAACAATAAGCAGTGTGACTGAGAAAGAAGTGGTCAGTTCTACACGAATCAAATCATAATGTTATTTATGTTGGACCTTCAAATGTAAATCATTTAGTCTGATGGTGGGAGGAAGACGAAGAAATAAATGGATAGACAATTTAGCTAGATTCTGTAAAAATATGACGAAATCAATCATGCAAGCCACTTCATATGTGCGATACAAATATAAAAAACCCATGACACTGGGCTACAACAGCATTATGACAAAAATAGAAGAAGAATAACTCGACGAGCATGTACCATAATACACATTACTGTATTTCTAAAAAAAAGAAAAAATCAAAACAACATAAATGAAATGTCTATTACGAGTTTTAAACGTTACAAGATGAGAGAGAATCATAAATGATGATGTCAGGAAAGAATCGAAACGGAACCTATACTAAACTAAATCAATAGACAACAGTTCAAATGATCTGATCATGTGTGAAGATTACCACCAGATAGTGCACCACAAATTTGCAGCAAACACCATGGCTTGCATTCAATGCCTCTTTAAAACCTGATGCTGAAATGCAGAACAGGACCAGAGAAGAGGAAGAAGAAGAAGAAGACGTATTTATAATGTTTGGTATCGTGACCCCAAAAAAATAACATGTGTTGGTGAAAACTTGTTTATCGTGTTTGCAGCATATTATATGTACCAACTGGGACTTCATGCGTGATGTGGTTAATACCATGTTGACTATTTTATTTCCCAGAAAACTTACTAGTACCCATTTTAAGCATGGTAACCGACAAATGAAGGTACACAATATAATAGCAATGGCAAACAAGCAAGGTCTTTCTCTTCTTCTGATAGTCCATAGTGTGTGGCAGTGGCAGTCTCCATCCACAACCTTCTGTCTCATAAACCTTCTTTCATTTCTGAAACAGATGGTCTTCCATGCAATGATGCCAAAGTGGCCAGAATTCTCTCTCTTTATCTCCCCCTGCCTCTTTTCCCCTCTAACGTTCCAGCCGTCACGATGTATTCCAGTTTTCTACTGCTCACAACAAGCCCAAATAGTGTAAACTGCCTCCTTCTGATGTGGGCAATCAGTTCTCTTCAGTTCTCTTTCAAGACATCTTCATTACTCTTTTTTTTATCTGTCCACAGTACTCTCATCATTTGCCTACAAACTCACATCTCCGCAGCTTCCAAATAATTTTTCACAAATCGTCCAACAGACCATGATTTACTTCTATATATCAGGATGATTTATTTGCTCTTGAGAATTCTTTTTTTTTTTTTTCTCAGTTGACCAAAAAAAAGACTGCATTCAGAATTCTTCACTTTGTAAACTGCTACCTTGATCTGAGCTAGTCTACATTTACTTTAATTTATTTATCCATGGCAAAACAGCTTATTCCTGACATCACTTTTAGCACAGTATTGGTCAGAGGTGTCATGAGCATGAGACTTTGGATTACATTGCGAGTACAGTTATGACGAACTGTGTAGGTTTGGGTTTTTATTTCTTCCCTGATAGAAAACATCTCCAGTCCTTTCCGAGGATTGACCTTGAGTCTCCCTCATGATAGCCTAGTAATCTAACCAATACTGCCAGCTTCTCCTTGACAATTGTAATGACTTGCAGTACATCAGGTAAACACTGAAAAGGTTTTTGCGTTGGATGAACAAGAGAAACATTACCATATTGTGGATTCATTAGCTCACCTGTTTCAGCTGCAGCCTACAAGGACCTGACTTTCTCATTGTCATATTATGAATCTGAACGTCGGCATGGATAACTTCTCCTGGCACATACGAGCGCTTCATCACACAAAGTGAACAGGAGACCCGAGATGGGCGGCAGCATGTGGTACTGAATGTGCGCTCAGCATGGTCCTCTAGCATGTGTCTGGGCTGAAAGTAGACAGTGGGGAGTACTCACATTCCATAAGGCTTTCTATCAGGTTTATAATTACTATACTGTTGGCAGAAGACAGCTATGTAATTTACATTGTGCAGACGACACTGATCTCATGGCTGTTTTGAAACAGAGCTCCAAGAACTTGCTACACAATTAAAGACAGTCTGTGATAAATATGGCAAGAAAATTAATGCAGAGAACAGCAAGATTCTGGTAAAAAGTCAAAATAATCAAGTACCTACCAACTTACAGATAAAAGAGAAAAAAAAAAAATAGAAGAAGTTGAAACCTTTAAACATCTTGGCTCTCACATATGTAAGGATGGCAGCTGTACCAAAGAGATCAAGACAAGACTTAATATGGCAATATCCCATCTGAATCATCATGATCCTGTCAACTGGCATAGGCGCTCATGCATCTCCACAGATCACGATCCCTGGTTGCTTGGAACAGCTCTCTTGATATCCCTATGCCATCGTTTCAGACCCTCCAGCATCATCTTTCTTGTTCTGCTTATACCCCTTTTTCCACTGATCTTTCCAGTTGTCACAATGTTCTCCAATGTCTCTCTTCTCATTATGTGGCCAATGCAGCAAAGGCCTCTATGAAGATTGTGGTTAAACGTTTGTCCTCCACTGACCCATACCACTTGGTTCCCACCTGCACCAGAATACGAACAGGTCAGACTGAAATCATTCTACTGCATGTAGATGGCTAGTATGTAACAGATGTTCAGTATTTTAGTATGCTTATCCACATAGGCTCAGTTCTGAGTCTTCACTATTGAAGTGCTTGTGCATATGGCCACAGAGTTTGTTATATCCAAAGCACAGTCTACATACAATGGTCTGTTTCTTTTGTGTGAAAAAGTTATTGGGTCTTCTGAAATATGTTCTAGACTGGAAATCCTCCCACTGATTTCAAATGGCTGTCTTTATCTGGATTCCATTTTCCTCATAAGTGCATCCTATAATCTGACTGTTCACACGGGTGAGGAGTATTGTCTGGATTTTTTCACCGGGTTACGCTAGTGTGTTGGGAAATTACCAGGCGGACAGACTGGCTGGCTCTGCACAACTTGGTGGAATACTGATACATGATAAGGCAGACATGGTTAGTGCCTTGTGGGAGAGCATGTACAGTTTGCAGGAGCAGATGGATCACCTCAGTCTGGTGAGATTGATGCAGCGGGAAGTGGCGAGAGGTGCTGGCAGATGCTCAAGGCTCAGAGGAAAGGCAAGACGGACGTTTAATCAGAATGCTACTGGCACCATTAGTATCGGAACTCTTCGCTGGCTGCTGAAGATGGGGACGGAGTGCTTATGGGAATGCCCCGAGTGCTGTGATGTCAGTTTTTGAATCAAATCAAATCAATCAAATCTGACTGTTCAATGTTTTATCTGTAAAGCTGCGCACTGAAATTTTGACAATACACAAGCAATCAAAAAGCTAAACTGATGCCCTAGAGATTTGGTATGGAATAGAATAGGTCATACTTCAGGGGAGCTGAACCAATCAAAAGCAGAGATTTTAAGTCAGCGGTTCTCAACCTGTGGGTCGTGACCTCTTTTGGGCCAAACAACCCTTTAACAGGGGGTACCTTAGGATTTCAGAAAATGCATATTCACTGAAGCTACGAAGTAGCAACAAAAGTAATTTTTTGGTTGGGGGTCACCACAACATGAGGAATGTTATTAAAGGGTCGCAGTATTAGGAAAGTTTAGAACCAACGTTCTAAGGGAACATGGGATAACAAGATTGTTCATGGACATAGGAGCAAGATACAAGTGACGTATCTCGGCTACTGTAAAATGCATAACACTCTTATAAAATTCACACTGAAAGGAACAGAAGAATATGAGATAGAAAGCAGCATAGCGATTACAAATGGAATATTACGAGATGGATGAACAGTAGTTTGAGAAAATGTGAAAGGGGAAGTACAGAGTTCCTGCAAACTTCATTGACAGGTGGTACTTGATTCATTCAGTTGTTAATGATGTTTTCTTTTTTTTTTTTTTCTTTTTTTTTCTTTTCCGTTTGTTTGTTTGAATTGAACATAGCACGCATAAGAAGTGTCATATTTTCAGTTCGAAAGTTTGCCCCCCTCACCCTCCCCCCCCCCCCAACTCCCACTTCCCCCCTTCCACCAAACAAAAAATATGAAGAATTATAGTGTACATAAACACTATTAACATTGAATCTGTTCAAAATGAATGTAAAATATCAAGGGATATTGGGTATTATCTACATAATCCAGTTTTGTCCTTTTTAGGACACAATTTTTTGTTATTTGAACCCCCACCCTGGCTTTTGCCAGGGGCCGCAATATAGGCAGGCCATAAATGTGGCAAATTGCCTGAACACAGTTTCTGGGTCCTCTCCACGGCGATCCTCATCCACATGGTGGCACTTTGTGTCATCGGGTGTTTGTCGCTTGTGTGATGTCCTGGTGGGGTAGAAAGTCAGTCAGTCAGTCAGTCAGTCAGTCAGTCATAAAGGGATACAACAGCAGCAGCAACACCACTTACCGAGGGAGATTTCTTTTCGTTGTCTCTCTTACAATCTAAATCTCTTAACACTGTGACAGTTTTCTTTGTAGTGATGTTTGGTCCAGCCACTCGGACCAGTGAGCCGTGCACGTTATAACGTATAAAGGCATCGGGTCCTTCAAATGAACATGGTATACCTGCATAAGGGTAAACGATAAACTTAGTTAATGATTTGATGAATATAATGTAACGGTAAAGGTGAGAGAGTAGACTTCATTGCACCGGGTTTTATTCCACATGGCGCAGTCTCTTTGCGCAGAACAGCTAACTACCTGCCGTGATCGTCACACAGAGAATGACCTACCTAGCTCCGGCGTCGATCCCCCGGAATCTCCGTAAAATTTGTACTCTTGAACTGAACCCACGACTTTCAAAACGTGAGAAAAACAGCTTGGTCACGGAGAACCACTAACATAGTTATGATTTAATGAATCTAATGTCATACTAAAAAAGTTCTTGTGCTGTTTCCACAATAAAGGTTGGCTACAGTGTACCACCACTGTCTTTTGGGATATAAAGTACTGAAGCTCCAGTCTCTTCCTCCACAGCGCTGCTATCTTACTATAATTGGAAACCAAGGAAACGTTTTTCACACCCCCAAACTCTCCATTTGCTTAAACTGTCCATTTGTTCACAGTGTTCATAATGTTAAACTCTCCATTTCCTCAAACTGTCCATTTCCCTTAAACTGTCAATTTCTTTAAACAGTCGATTTCTTTAAACAGTCCATGTCCCCAAACTGTCCGTTTCTGTAAACTGTCCATTTCCCTAAACTGTCCGTTTCCTCAAACAGTCCATTTCCTTAAACTGTCTTTTTCCTTAGACAGTCCATTTCCTCAAACAGTCCACTTCCTTAAATTGTTGGCCGTGGGGACCGAACCCTAGTATTCAAGGACGAGGACAAGATTATATGCCATACTCACTAACCTCTAAGCCACGGGTTGGCAATAAATATAATATAGTTGGGCGCCAACTGTTTCCGATTCATCCTTACCAGCACAGGACTACAAACTGCACTAGTCCAGTAGGGAACAAATTGCGGCTCACGAGCCGTATACGGCTCTTTAGCGACCTGTGAGGCTCGGCCAGTCGGCCACAATTCGGTTTTTACTCCGAAAAACATGGTTCTTGATGGGTTCTTGAAAATAAATTTGGCTGTCAACAAAATTGTAATAGTCCTGCTGCTGATTTGTTGCTCTTTTGACTAATGCGTTTGCCGACCAATTCACTAGGCCAGAGGTTCTCAAACTGGGTGCAGCGACACACTGGGGTGCCGCGAGCGTATGCCAGTGGTGCCGAGGAAATAATGAAGAATTTTTCCAAATCTGCTTGAGATCAGCGAAGGTAGCAGTTTGAAACAGAAATACCGCAGAGGAAGCCAGTATACGTTCCAAATCCAGGTGTATTCAGAAAACAATGCTATTGGCAAGGTTTCAGTGCATTATCAACGTACGCTTATATTTAAAAAAAAAAAAAACAGACACAGGAGCAAACTTTATGGGACAAGTGATTTAAGGGTAAAATTTAAAAAATTTCTCATATACATAAAGGTTATAATGAAAAATTGATCCAGTTTCATTCAGCACACTAAAGACAACTGAACATTAAATGTGCACTGTTTTTCCTTCTTTTCCTAAATACTGAAACCGATTTAAGGGTAGGTATGCCGCGAATTTCTTTAGCACGACAAGGGTGCCGCGGCGAAAACAGTTTGAGAGCCACTGCACTAGGCTGTCGTGGTCAACACGGATGCCTGAATTATACAGTATTTGCATGCTTAACAGGGTATATAGGAATTGCTCTGCTGGCTTGCTATCCGGAACCAGATTTATGTGGCCTCATGATGGTTCAACCTCAAAGTAGCAGCGGGGATGAAGAAAACGAAACCCTTACTCGCCTTGTGTGCTACAGGTTACATCGCAAGGTTCCCAGTGTGGTTCCGGGGCCGTATTATAGGGAAAACAATAAGAAGAAACTCCACACGGGAGTATGTACAGCAGGGGTCTACTAATCATCAGTAGAAGTAACCTCTTGTCGACAAATGTTTCGGCCCACGAGCTCCTAGACATTTTCAGAGAGTGGGCCCACCTGAGTTCATGAAGCTCAGGGTTGGTTTTCCCTGCTGCACGTATTACCGGATGTTATTCGGACAGGGACAAGACGAATTGGTGATTTGAAAAAAAGTACTGTGAGATAAGAAGTCGTTGCGGTAGCATAATTAAAGCAGTCTGCATACCTGGACGACCTAGCGGCAAGCTTACGATTGTTTTACCGGACACAAGTTGGACTTTGTTAGCAGGTGGCAGAGGGACACTGGCAGACAATTCGGACACGATGGACTTTAAGAGATGAGAAATTCTTTTCCACTAGACACCCGGACCAGCTCACCGAGGCCCGTCCCCTACCTTTTTCCGTTGTGTCCAGAGCCAAGAATAGACCCACTGCCTACCCAAAAGCATGTCGTAAGAGTCGACTAAATTGGAGCTATCTTCATAGTTGGAGTGCTTCTGCCTGAAAGGCAAGGAACCAAGAGGCTGCATACAAATTAGTCAGATCTGTCAAACGGATTCACACGCAACACTTGGTTTCTGGAACAGGACTGCAGTCCAGGATTGGACAAATAACTAGAACTTTCTGCCGAAGTTTACAGCCGGTAAACACGAAGAAGAAAAAGAAAATATCGCAAGGTGTCGTCGATGTCACGGTTGCCATAATTGTAACAAGGTAACTTGTCTGTGGCCTAGGCATTGCGAACTCGCTTCGTAATGCCGGGGTGCCGAATTCGATCCCAGCTGTGGACGATATGTCTTGCGTTGGTTTCGATAGTGGTACCCAGAGCTGACCGTTCAGTAGGCAATTGCAAACTACGGAACGTAAAATTTGCCTTACAAACCTTAAAAGCTAAAAAGAAAAATGCAGGGGTTAGTTCTGCAACTTCCTGTAAAAGGATACCCAGCTAACTTTATCTTGATTTTGCCCTATTTGGATACTTACCCAGGATGCTATTTTTCAATTGCTGGATGATCAAATCACCAGAAATCGGTTTGGGTGGACAACCCACGTTTATTGATGCATGCTCAGTATTTCCCTACATTACGTGACAGAGGGCACGTCAGGCCGTTTAAGCAACGTTGCGGATGGTCTAATTCTAGGAGTTAGGACATGGTCCGACGCTCAGCACTCAGGGGAAAAGCGAGACGGACATACAATTAGACTGTTACTAGTACCATCGGAATGAAACTCTACGCTCGCTGCTTATATTGTTGGGTAAAAAAAAAACATAGATGATGATCTTCAAATGTGACTAGGCAGTTCTCAGTAAAGAGTTAATTCCTTCAGTACGTCATTGCTAATTTGTTTTATCTGTCAATGGTGTTCTAAGCTTCAAAGGAAACACACTTTCTGCCGTTTTACTGAGTTACAAAAAGAAATATCTAAAGCAGTGGCTCTTAGCCTTCCTAATGCCGAGACCCTTTAATACAGTTCTTAATGTTGTGGTGACCACCAGCCATACCTTTATTTTCTTTGCAACTTCATAAGTTTAATCAATTTATGTTTTGCGATGATCTTTGGCGAACCCTGTTGAAGGGTCGTTCATTCCAAAAAAGGGGTACCTACCCACAGGTTGAGTACCACTGATCTAAAGTAAGAGTAAAGGCCCCCTTATCAAGTCTTATTGTGTATGGGTATATGATATAATTTTATAAGAAAGCGCCACTGGAACTACATCGGCTATGCGCTCTGAATGGATAAGACAATACTTCCCCATCAAGCCCTCATATGGACACCGGAAGAGAAAGAAAACAGGGAAGACCAAGTGAGACCCTGGGTAGAATCATCATCATGGAAGGCTCCACCATGGGCCTAATGAACATTCAAGACCTAAAAAAGGTGGCAACGAACTGCCAGACATGGCGAGCCATGACCTCTGCCCTATGCGCCGCCCTAGGCTCAAGAAGAAATACCTAATATGAGCCACAGTGGTCATAAAAAAAAAACACTGCTCTGCAGGTTATTGAACTCGTACCCACTGTCATGGCACTCAAGCGCACTTACCCCCACAACATATAAGTAAAAGTCTCTTTACACAACAGTGACGTATCAGGCCTACGAGACTAGACTCATATTTTTAAAGACTCAGTGGATGATGTGGTCAACATCTTGCCTGCCGTCTTTACTTCACATTACTTCATCTGGTACCCATTTTAGGCTGGATCGACTTGGGTGGCTAAGTAAGGTTTAAAATAAATTCAGCACTGTGAGGATTTGAACCAACTACCCTCTGAGCAGCAGAGAACGTCTAAGCCACAGACAAAACAGTATGTACTAGTCTTTAAATAACGTATATGAGAATACAAATTCTACCGTCTTCATACATCAGCAACAAGTAGGCTGGCGCATTATTACATTTGTAATAAATCCATGGCGACATTAGAGTCAAACAAAATATAATTGTAATACACAAACACACATACACACCTATATATATATATAAAACTAATAGTTGCTGTTCGGGTAATGGTAACGATTCCAGGCCCAGGCACACCGTATTTGGTCGTTCATTCGTGCTTGCTTACCCTTTACACGCGCGACTATCTGTTTCAGTTGTTCAGGTTGAATTGTCTACAACGCTCTCATCGGCGATGATGTCTGCTCCATATTACACAATGTGACCGCTTTTAACGACCCCAGAAGATCTAGAACTGACCCTACAGAATCAGCCTACGTCCCGTTGTTTCAGAACTGTTAACATTTTGCGGTGACAAATGAAGTAAATTCACGTCGTACTTCAAGTCCGAGAAGATTACAATATACGCCATTTTGCTGTCCGCTCAGGCCAACAGTGAAACGCACCGTGTACCTGGTCTTTTACACGACGCGCAATATATACATAAAAAAGCACAACGGGACTCACCTCTAGCTTAGACTTAAGTTAGTTGCGTATCCTTTACAGGACGTTGCAGAACCAACCCTAACAGTCCCTGGCTGTTGTGTGGTTTCTCTAGACAATTTACATCCAGTAGTTTGCCATTGCTTTCTGGACGTTCGGCTTTCTTGATACCACTGTCGAAACCAACGCAAGGCACATTGCCCGCAGCTGGGATCGAACCTGACATCCCGGCATTACGAAGCGACG